TCCATAGCCAAGAGTCATCAATCATGCTCCCCAGTAATAATCTTGCATGCCGGAAGCTTCCACCACCTAGCAATTATCTAAAGCCATGATGGCAAACCTATGGCACAGGCGGCACACAGAGCCATTTGTGCGGGCACACAAGCCCCAGGCAAACTTACTTCACTGAGCATGCGCGTACTTCCCAGCTGATTTTCGGGCCTTTTTCAGCCTCCCAAAGGCTGCAGCCTTTGTAGGCCGAAAAACAGCCCCGTTTCATCATTTCCTGTATTTCTGGAAATACCGGAAGTGACCAAACAGGCCCGTTTTTCAGCCTACAAAGGCTGCAGAGGCTTCCCTCCAGCCTCTGGGAGGCCAAAAGAGGCCCTAAAATCAGCTGGGAGGCACGCGCATGCGCAGTGAGGTAATTTTTCCTGGGGCTCACGTGCCCGCACAAATGGCTCTGTGTGCCACCTGTGGCACATGTGCCATAGGTTCGCCATCACAGGCCTATAGGGGCCTATAGGTTCGTCATCACGGGCCTATAGGCACGCGCCATCACGGCCCATCACCTATGGCCATGACTTTCTTTTTTTCTTTTATATTGACCCATATGCATTCTAGGAGGTTTTCGTCTTTGGTTTCATGCATTTCTGTAGCAATATAGTGGTCCTTTACATACAGTGCAACTCCACCTCCTCTTTTATGGGGTCTGGGTTTTTTTGAAGAATTTGTATCCTTCTATCAGTATGTTCCAGTCATGGGTTGCATCCCACCAAGTTTCTGTTATTCCAACTATATCATATCTACCTTCGTGTATTAATAGTTCAAGTTTACCCTGTTTGTTCCCCAGACTTTGTGCATTTGTATATTGGCACTTGAGATCTTTATGTCTGACTCTGGGTATGAGGCCTATATCTCCTATTTGGTGTTTAAGTTTGTCTTCATTCCTATCCCTCCTTACTTCATTATTTGACTTGCTTTCTAGGGGTTTTTGCTTGGAATTAGGTCCTGGAGATCCTAAAGATTGGTCACCCTCCCGCCTCAATTTTAGTTTAAAGCCCTCCTGATAAATTGAGCCAGCCGTTTTCAAAAACATTCTTCCCAGTCTTTGTCAGGTGCAACCCATCCCTTGCCAGAAGCCCATCGTGGAGATAGTAAAGACCCTGGTCCAGGAATCCAAAGTTTTTTGGGTGACATCAACCCTTTAGCCTAGTGGTTCCCAAAGTGGGCGGTACCACCCCCTGGGGGGCAGTGGGATGCCTTAGGGGGGCTCTAAGAGGTAAGGTGGCCGGCGGGGGGCACTAAGAGGTGGCAGGGGGGTGCTGGAGGTGGGCCCCTCGCAGGGCACAATTCAGGAGTGAGAAAAAATCCCGCCGCCACGTTTGAGGCAAGGGCCCACAGGAGTACCCCATTGACTTGCACGCTCCAGTGCAATGGGGTGATCCTGCAGGGCCTCGCCCTGAACACAGTGTTGGGAAAGGAGAGAAAACCAGAGTGGCTTTGCTCTCCTTTTCAAACATCCCACTTTCGCCGCCGCGTTCGGGGCAAGGCCCCACAGGAGTACCCCATAGACTTGCATGCTCCGGTGCAAGGAGAGCAAACCAGAGCGGCTTTGTTCTCTTTTTCAAACATCCCGCAGTGGGATGTTTGAAAAGGAGAACAAAGCCGCTCTGGTTTGCTCTTCTTTCCCAATGCTGCAGTCGGGACGAGGCCCCTCAGGATCACTCCATTGAGCCCCTTGCACCGGAGGCACCTGCCCAAGCAAGTCCTAATGGAGCGGTGCATGAAGTCAATGGGGTGAGTCTGAGAGAGGGAAAGAGAGAGGAAAGAGAGAGAGAGAGAAAAAGAGAAGGAAGAAGAGAAAGAGAAAAGGGACAGAAAGAAAATGGGACAGCCAAAGAAGTGGGGGGGAATGGAAGGGAGAGAAAGAAAAAGAAATAAAGAGGGAGGGAGGGAGGGAGGGAGGGAGGAAGATAATGAGATATCTATTCTAGTCCAATCACCTGCTCCAGCAGGGTAAGAAGGGTGTGGGTGTGTGTGTGTGCGTGCGTTCTTGTAATTTACCAGTACATTTTGGTTTTGCCTTCTTTAGAATTGGCACTGTAATACATTGGGGAAAACTAATTTTTAGGGTCGAGGTCTGGTCCAATGGATCCTGTTTAAAGCCTCAACAAAATGTGAGAGCTTCCTGATAGTCTTGGCCATGTTTCGTCCACAAAACTTTTAATTAATAGAAGCCAAAGATGTTTCAATGTGCTGGCAAAGATGTTTCAATGTGGAAAAGGGCCTCTAAACTAGGCCTCATTTCAATCTGATGCATCAGGTCTCTCTCTCTCTCCCCCTCCCCCTCCATCCCCCCTCTTTCTTTGTCCCTTTTTCTTTCTTTCCCTTTTCTCTTTCTTTTCTCTCTCTCTTTCCCTCTCCCAGGCTCACACCATTGATTTGGTGCACCGCTCCATTTGGACTTGCTTGGGCAGGTCCCTCCAGTGCAGCGGGCTCAATGGGGTGGACCTGTGGGGCCGGCACCTAGAAAGCAGCAGTGGCGACGCATTTGAAAAGTAGAGCAATGCCAGAGGTCAGTAATTTTTGCTGCAAAGAATCACAAAAGCTTCTGGGCTGTGCACAAGAAGGGACACACATGTCAATGCAATTCAGCAACATAAAATAAAGAAATACAAATAAAACAAATCAACAAGAATCGGCAAAGCATCTCTGATTAGATTCTATTCACTTCTAGAATCTAATCAGAGATGCTCTGCTGATTCTAGTCCAATTATCTGCTCCAGCAGGGTTAGAAGGGAGTGTGTGTGTATGTGTGTGTGTGTGCATGGGTGTCAAAACTCCAAAAACAGGTCAAGTAGTTCTGGGGAGGCCAGTCATAAATTAGAACACTTGCTAAGCAACCGGTCATTAAGTGAGGACCACTTGTATTTTGTTTGCCAGACACCAAACCATGCCCACCCAGTCATGTGACCAGCAAGCCACACCCTCAAATTAGGCCACGCCCACAGAAATTTGAATCCCACCCTTGGGTGGGGGGCATTGAGGATGAGTTTGTAGCACCAAGGGGGCGGTGGACTGAAAAAGTTTGGGAACCACTGCTTTAGCCAGTGGTTCACTTCTAGAATTCTTTGTTTTCTTACCAGATGTTTTTGTCAGGATTCTAGCACTTACCCCAATTAAACCTTTTGTTGGCAGTACAGATGAAAAAACTACTTGTGCACTTAAGTCCTTGACTTTCTTGCCTAGCTGCTCGTAATCACTCAATATTGTTTTCAAGTCCTTTTTTGTGTCATTCGTCCCAACATGTAATAGTAGAAAAGGGTAGTAATCCATGGGCCTAATTATTTTGGTTAGGTTCTCAGAAGATGCCTTGATTTTTGCTCCAGGAAGACAACATACCTCCCTAGATTGTATAACCATTCTGCAGATGGCTGGTTCTGTTCCTTTGAGAACAGAATTTCCTATCACCAGCACTTGCCTTCCTTTTTTAGGGGATGCAGTCTGGGGTGTTTTTCTGTTTATCCCAGGTGAGTTTGTTGCTTTTTAGATCACCAGAAATCAGCATGATGCCCTATTCTTCTAATATATGGCTTCAGTGCATCAGCTGATCATGCCGGTGCCTATGTCTTTATAAAGACACTATTTCTGCAGGTACTATTTCATTTTAGGTTTCAAATTATCCTATATACATATCTGGCTAGATAAGTTTAATATAAAAATAAGAATTTGATTCAAAAATAAATGTGATGCAAACATTTTATTATAACAGCTCCCACGTACAAGTATAGAAAATAAAGTCTATGCACTAAAGAGACCTTTATGAAAACTAAAAAGGGCCTTCACCATCTGAACAAAAGTCTTTTAGAATATCATGAAGCTTCCTGGAATACTCAATCAGAAATTGGTGGCAGCAGCTGAAGGGAGGGAGTGAAAGTGCTGGAAAGACAATGGGGACAGTCAAGCCAGTGGGACACCTGCACTGGGAGCTTCTGGGTAGAAAAAGAGAGAAAGAAGGCAACACATACCAGCCTTGTCTATCTCATTTGGATTCTTTTTTGTCTGCAACCCAGAGCCACCAAAGATGTTTTGATATTGCCAAGCCAAGGGTGACATGAAACAGTCACAGCTGTTCCAAATTTGAAGAATTTTCCCAACTTCATGCACACTTATTTCCGGGATAACCTAAAAGGCTTTGGAACCTTGTTTGGCCTGAAATTGCTTTTCTCTCATTGAGCAAGGCAAGACACGAGTAGTTCCCCTATGCCTGCATCCACTGACATTTGATTGTATTGGTAAAACCAATGTTCTAACTTTCAGAAACAGAATCTGCAAATATATCCGGGAAAGGTTGTTCTTTGGTACCATTTCGCCCTCATCCCAATCCCTTTTCTTCCTCACCAGAGTAGCATTCTTGGCTCCCACGCTGGCTCTCTGCACCAAAAGCTTCTTGTCACCCAACTGCATGCCATTCAACCCCGCGATGGCCTGCGAGGGCAAAACAAACGTTAATCCAGACACTTCAAAACTTGAGCCTCTGAGGCCACCAACCACACACCCCTCTGCCCCAGGCTCCAAAACATCCACACATTCATACACAAAAAGTAGCTTCTTTTATGCCTCCTCCCCACCAGATTCCTACCTGAACTGCACTGCTCTTGGATTTAATACCACATTTAGGTTATTTACCTGCCGGGCCTCAAAATCAGCATGTTTTTTTAAAAATAGATCTTGTTGGAAGGGATTAAGATGAGTCAACAAGACTGTCTGCATGAAGGAGAAGAGCAAAGATGAGATTTCTGCCTCAGCCAAATGTTGCCAACAAAGACAGAAAATTCTAAAAGGATGTAAATGAGACTACATACTTCTCAGAATGAGAATTCCACTGATTTGAGGTTGTCAGGTTATGGAAGTTTACATCTTACCAGTCCAGCCCCAATAAAGCATTTAGTATCAGGTTTTACATTATTGAGAATTCGTTTTCCACACAGACCAATTTGAGAAGGAAGATTATGAAGCCAAATAATTTCCCAGTTACAATATAGAAACTGAGGTTTGTGAAAGAATGCACATTTCACAGTTATCAATTTAAGTAAAAAGCTGGCAAGCAAATTTACTAATCCTTTTCCACACAGAAGAATCCAGTGGATGAAGGGCTGGTTCAGCCAAGGATGGAGCAAAATACATATTAAAGTACAAGTTGGCCAAAATAATTCAAGTTATGATCTAGAATGGGTCGCCAATCTTTTGGACCTCAGGGAGCACCAAACTCATAATTTTAGATCCCAGGGACCACTAACTGGTTCTGTGGGTGTGGCTTGGTGGTCATGTGACTGGCTGGGCATGGCTTGTATGTAAATATTATAAATATTTATATAAATATTTTTTTTTTTATAAAAAAGAGCAACTTTTACCCAAAATCAGGCAAAGCAGGCAGGCAGATTGAGTTGCTCACAGAATCAGTGTCAGCTTTGAAATTCAGCTGCCACATTTTTTTGTTTAGAGAGTTAGAGGTGTTGAAAAGTTCAAGGTTATTCTGTATGTCGTATTAAGAATTTCCAGTTGCAGTTAATTGGTTCTCGTGATTTATGAAGTGTAGAAGTGGGAGGAGAGAAGGTGGATTCTGTGTAACGCGTGAAAAAACTTTCACTTGCGAAATTGCTTTTGACATGCCAGATCTGTTTCTAATAAATCAATTGGAGAGATAATGTCTCGGAGTGACTGGTATCATGGATACTTTCTGGATGCCTGACATTTATTTCCCAAGTCTGACTTTTATTTTTTGAATGGGCTTGGCTGATGCCCCAGAGTTCTTTTCCCAGAAATGGAGAAAGGTCAGCAATCAGCCGAAGTTGGAGGTGTGCAGGGGGGAGCATGTGGGGGCCCTCCCTCCGGAGCATTAATTGAACCTGCCAGCCCTTGTTTGGAGGAGATGATGGATGCTTTCATGATGGCAGTAGGAGAAAGAGATTTGGGAGCTATACCAAAGCGTTTCAACTCAAGAAGTTGTTATAACCCAGAGGTAACCCAGCTGTCTGAAGAGAAATCTTTCCCTAGCCCCAGGCATATGGCTATTCTGTCGGATTGGAGGGAAGAGAGACAATTGGAGTCAGAATTCTCTCAAGAAGACAACCCCCAGATTATTCCTGGAAGTTCATCAGGGGCAGATTTACATCAACAGTTCCAGAATTTAAAGGTGACAGGTTTGGTCTCACAGTCTGTTTGGATGGGTCGAAGCTTGAGACCACCCATATTCACTTACCCAAGTATCGTGAGGAATGAGGAGACTATACAGATGCCAGTTGGAGGAAGCCAGAAAGAAGCATCAACTAACAGAGGTATGTTGCAGCCTCAGAAGCAATCCCCTCATTTTCCAAAAGGAATTTTGCCCCCTGCAGAGAGTATCCCTCCAGAGTGGGGATTTTATCCAGGCCAGAGGTGGATTCAATGCCAATGGCAGCCAGCATCAACACAGCCCTGGTCTGAAGGGGAGTTGCCCAGACAGCAGACAGCAGCCACATCCCCTCCACCCGACCACGGAACCAGGCCACACCGATCTTCCTCCTGGCAACCACAATTGCAGCCCCAACCGGAAGCGAGGCCACAGGGAGGCACCACCCAGCCAGGACTCAGGGGGCTGACCCAGCCTACGTACGCCGCCCAGCCTATTCCTTCCATTCCAGTACAACCTGCAGGGGCCTGGCCTGCACCACCTCCGCAACCATGACCCAGGCCGGACCGAATACCCTTTGAGGCTGTATTCGATGGCCGCCATGAACATTTCAATTACTTCCTCACTCAAATCTGATCCCATATAGAATAATTTGGAGATCAATATGCCAGAGCGTGATTTGGTTACAGCCATAACAGATGGGATGAATGAAGGGGTTGCTTCAGACTGGGTGGCCCAACTACACAACAAACAAGCCACCAAATTATAGAATGTAAATGGATTTATTCAATTATTAAGACTCAGATTTGAAAATCCAGACAGGGTAGCAGAGAATGAAGAGAAGTTAATGGAAATGAGGCAAGGCAAGCAACCCTTGTCAGAATTCATTTGGGACTTTAGAAGGCTTGCAAGCCACCTCATGGATTGGCCTGAAAGAATGTCTTTACACTATTTTAAAAACGCCATTGAGCCAGAAGAAGGCCTGTGAAATTAGGGGAATCCCAGAGACCTTACAGTCGTGGTATGCCGCCTTCCTAAGCTTAGATCGCAGCATCAACCCACACAGGAAACCCCTTCCGGCAGCCCCGACTAAGAGAATTGTGGCTAGGAGACCGCCGACCAGACAAGCTGAAACTGCTCGTACCTGACCCATCAGGGTGCTGAAATGTTACCGATGTGGCCAAGCCGGTCATAGGGCATCAGACTGTCTGGCCCCAGCTGCTGTGCCACAAGCTCCGCAGTCAAAGCCTAATACAGCTGTTAGAGTTTGGAAGAATCAAGAAAGACCTCCGGCCAGGGACGGATTCGCCAAACACAGCTGGGAAAGCCCCCTCTGCACAGATGGGAGCAACGGACCACCGGACTGACACCACGTCCCCAAGAACCTGACCTGCGAAGACAACCCACTCAATTGACAGAATTAAGATGCAAATAGGGCCCCATCGTGAACTCATATGCTTCATAGTGGCCCCCAAGATGTCAGAATCAATCATACTGGGACTTGTTTGGTTAGACAAATGGGCCCCGACGATCAAATGGGAGGATGGATTCAGAAAAATCCTCATTGGACCGGGCCCATTGCCCCCTCTTCCACCCACTACAAAGCCACCGGTCAGCTTGAACCCAGACCCTGAGCCAGCTTCCATGGCATCCCACCTTCTCCCAGATAACCCCCAGGTACCTGACCAATACAAAGACTTGGCTGAAGCATTCAGTGAAGAAGAGTGTAATGTTTTACCTCCCCATCGAGCCACTGATTGCGCCATAGAATTAGAGCCCAGGGCGAAATTACCAAAACCAAAGATGTATTCCATGACGCCTGCTGAAATGACTGAATTAAGGAAATACATCGACAGCAATTTGGAATGAGGTTTTATTGAGCCTGCCAAATCAAGACTAGCTGCCCCCGTGTTCAAGAAGATGGCGGGTTGATATTGTGTGTTGACTTTAGAGGCGTGAACGCTGTATGCGTCAAAAACATGTACCCTCTCCCGCTTATTAAGGACTTATTGAACCACCTGTCGAAGGGCAAGATATTCACCAAGCTAGATCTCAGGGAAGGTTACTACCAGGTCCGCATCAAAGAGGGAGATGAGTGGAAAACTGCTTTTAGCTGCCCTCTGGGTAGCTTCCAATTCAAAGTCATGCCTTTCGGACTTCAGGGGGTTCCTGCAGTGTTTATGCAGCTCATCAATGAGGTTCTACACCAGCACCTTTACCGGGGGATCCTCGTGTACCTGGTGACATCCTTATCTTCAGCAAAACCATGGAAGAACATGTTCAATTGGTCTGACAGGTTCTAGAAAAACTTCTAGCCGCCAAATTATATGTGAAACTCTCAAAATGTGTATTCCACAAGGAGTCACTGGACTACTTAGGCTATCAAATTTCCAACTTGGGGATTGAAATGGACCCCGGAAAGGTGAAAGCAGTGCTGGACTGGCAACCCCCCAGAACCCGAAAACAACTTCAAAGTTTCTTGGGGTTTGACAACTTCTATAGACAATTCATTCTGTCCCTTGCTGAAGTTGCCCTCCTGTTGACAGAGCTATTAAAAATGGGGCCGTCACCCACCAAACCAAAGCCAAGTCAACCCCTGGCTTGGACTATGGACTGTCAGAAAGCTTTCAAGACCTTAAAATGCCTCTTCGCAGCTGAGCCCATCCTCCAACACCCAGACGTGACCAAGCCTTTTACTGTCCAAACGGATGCAAGTGATGTAGCGGTGGCAGCCGTTTTGCTGCAAAAAGACTCTCAAGGCCGACTGATGCCTTGCGCTTATGTGTCCAAAAAGCTGACACAGAGCGAAGGTGGGCGGTCTGGGAGAAAGAAGCATTTGTTGTATGATGGGCTTTATTGACTTGGAGGCATTTTCTAGAAGGGCCTTTGAGGTATGGACTGATCATAAGAACCTCGAAGCTCTAGAACCCCCTAGGAGATTATCGCCCAAACAAGTCCTCTGGGCCCAATATTTCAAGCGATTCAATTTCAACATTAAATATATCTCCGGAGGGAAAAACGTATTGGCGGATGCTCTGTCCAGAAAACCTCAGTTTGACAGCCACTGAGAGGAAATAGTACAAGCCTTAATTTCAGAAACTCACTTGGCAGGCCAAGTGACCACTCAAACCCAAGCTAACTGAAACCCCAAACGCCTGAAAGATAAGCTGACTGCGGAATTGAAAACGGCCCTATTGACCGATCCTTGGTTCCTTGACCATCAAACCGAGTTGACAATGAATGATGGACTAGCTTGGAAAGGGACTAAGCTTTATGTACCCACAACCCTAAGACTACTGGTACTAAAGCGTAGCTG